CCCAGTGCAGGAAATCATTTCTACAATATACCTGGCAGATGGCTATCAACCTTTTTTTAAACACCTCCAGTCCACCTCTAGAGCCAGTCTGTTCCATCATTTAATGCAGGTCTTAGAAAAATGTTCCTAATGTCCAGGCAAACTCTACTTTCTCAAGGCTAGATAAAGAATTCTGGGGGTTGAAATCCACATTTGTTAAACTTGAGAAGATTGAGAAACACTGCTCTAGCCTGGTGAAATTTTCCCATAAGATGCTTCTATAAATTTGCTGAAATTCCTTCCCTAAAAGTAAGTCTCTAAGTCTGCCTGTCTCTCTCTCTCTTTCTCTCCCCCACTCTCTCTCTCTCCCTCCCTCTCTCCCTCTCCCTTCCTCCCTCACCCCTTTCCCTCCCTCTCTCTCTCCCTCCCTCACCCTCTCTTTCCCTTCCCCCTCACCCTCTCTCTCCCTCTCTCTCCCTCCCCCCTCTCCCTCTCCCTATGGTCCAATTATTTTTTCTCCAATACCATGGATCCTAAGGTGATATAGCCCTTCCTCTCAAAAGTTCCCAATGGTTATATATTGTCAGAGATCAGATCTAGGATTAATCCCCTTCTGTCTTCTTTGGTGTTCTGGAATATGAAAAAGACAGGAAGATCACTGAGAAATATTTGGAACTTCTCAGATTTAGTCAAGTTATTTTTGCAAGGGATGTCTGGGAAGTTAAAATATCTCATTAACATCCTGAAAAAAGTTATAATCAGATCCAGGAGGTCATTATCCAGATTGTCTGGCTGCCTTGGCAGTTTATAAACACACCACAACATATATATATATATATATCATTGTTATCTTCCCTTTTTTGCATATTTTCCAAATACTTTCAGTTGGACTCTGGTGTTCATTTTAGTTTGGAAATTTAGAGCCTTGTCAGATGCCCAACTGAGTTTAAGTTAAATTGAATGCTCTGGTTGGTATAACTGGAACACCAGCATGAAAACAAGATACAGAGATAGCATTATACACAAATTACTGTTGTGAATGAACCCATAGTTCAGCAATGCACTAACAAGCAAAATTAAAAAGACTATTAGACGTAATAAACTGTTGATGTATATGACAGAAATGTTATGGAAATTAAGGAAGCTAAAAGATACATTAGATATATAGTGGTATTTTTTTCCATTAAGCAAATTGTAATTAGACATTCTGAGGATTAATTATATTAGCAAACTCATTCAGATGCCAGCATAAATTGGGAAAATATTATATTTTGGAATATTTAAAATGTTTACATATTTTAATATTGAATATACCCATTATCTAACTGTATTTATTAACAGCACTTGTGACCATGTGTATTTATAGCATTATATCTGGGACTTGGTATACTTAAGAAAAAATATATACAATAGTTTATTAGAATTCCAAAAGTATGATTTTTGATATATCTTCTATCTGCTAGTTAGCCAGTTACAAAACAGCTTAGAACTGAAAAAAAATATTGCCAGCTGTGAATAAATTGTACCTAGAGGACATGACTGATTGTATTAGGGTATATTAAATTGGAAATAATTGGGGCAATATTCAAAATTCATCATATTTTGGTTTGGATGGCTTAATTAAAAGAAAATGATGATAATATTCAGAAAAAAATGTCATTTTTTTCAAGGTTGCAAGTTGCAACATAGAGACATATAGAAGTTTTAAAACCAATGGGCCTTAATTGTTATCTTTCTCTTTTTAATTTTGCTTCCAAAAAGGCAATAATAATTGATCAGATTGTGTTAGAAATCTTTCTGTTACCCTTGTCCAAGAAAGAAAAAGTGTAGTTTATCTTACGTATTAGCATTTGTGGACAAGGCTCTCTAACCCTTAAATAAACCTTAACTGTTGATCTCTTGTAGAACTGGACTTAATTTGGCTCAAAGACTTTGGATGTAATTTTCTGTGGAGTCATTTAACAAAGCAGAAATGAGAAAGGGGCAAAGGTTTATTGCTAATAAAATAAATTGGTTAGGTGAAGAGCAACTGAAATATAGCTAGTTTCTGAGCTAGTTTCTAATTAATGTGATAGTCCTATTATGTATGACCTTTTCTTTTTGGAGCCATTACTTTGCTTTAACTTTACTTAAACTGTGTTTAAGGACCAATCTAAATAAATAAATAGAAATGAGAATATTAATATGCTGGAGACAGGTCTTCTGAATATGATCTAGCCAAAAAGGAACATTTTAGAGTCATGCTAATTGCAGCGAGGCACGTGAAAGTCAATCTTAATGACTGTTAATAACTTTGGCTAGCGTATGTTTTCATGTATTTAGATGATTTTCTAAATAAAAACAATAGGCTTTGGCCATGCTACAGTGTTTGTCAGCCCTTCAGTGTAGGACAGGTTAAGAAAGAGACAGCATAAGAATTACAGGAATGCTATTTATTCCTGCAGAATATTAATTTATATTCCGTTTATCATATTGGTATGGCTACTCATCTACACTACATTTATGGGAAAAAAACAATATTAGAAGGATTTCTAACTCTACATTTATCTTTCTGATATTCTGAAAATACTTACCTGGCAGGGATGACACCATAATCGCTTTATCTGTCATTATGAATATATGGGTGGCTCAGAGGAATCTGATTTTTCAATTTGTTAGTTAATTTTGCAACCATGTTCATTTTATTCCAAAACAGAGGCAAGTTAACACTAAAAAATGGCTATATTCATTATTTAACAAATATATTCTGCTTAATTCATCCAGCCAATAGAAGCTCCTTTTCTTTTTGTAGAGAAAAAATGTCTGACCTGTATCTTCTGAATCCTGATACCTTAATTACACCCCAAAATATCTTTATTATATTCTCAATTGCATGCTTACCTTTGTTTTGCCTATATATTATGATTTGTGTTTGGCTGTATTGCTATGTTTGTTCAGTAATTGTTGAAAGGAATTTTGAACTGGGGAAGTCCACTTCAAGTTGTTTCACTAAGAAAGATTTGCAAATACCTATGCTCTTTTGCCTCATTCATTTAAATTATTACCATATTTATGGATATATCAACCAAAGCTTCCAAGAAGATTTCTTCATTTGTAGATGAAACTTACAATATTATCCTGTAATGGGAAAAGGCATACAAATCCTATTAAATACAAGCAAATTGCTTAATCCCTTGGCACAGCATACCCTGATATTTTGAAATGCACAAAACAAGTAGTACAGACAAGCTCATCCTAAACCCACTGCCTCTTCCGATAATTCATTTAAGACTGTAAAGAGCCATTTAAGGTGGCTCTTTTTACTACTTCATGACTGAGATAAAATCGAATCGAATCGAATCGAATCGAATAGAATAGAATAGAATAGAATAGAATAGAATAGAATAGAATTCTTTATTGGCCAGATGTGATTGGACACACAAGGAATTTGTCTTGGTGCATACTCTCTTGGTGTACATAAAAGAAAAGATACATTCGTCAAGAATCATAAGGTACAACACTTAATGATAGTAATAGGGAAACAGTCAATATAAATCTTAAGGATACCAGAAACAAGGTTACAATCATACAGTCATAAGTGGGAGGAGATGGGTGATGGGAACGATGAAAAGATTAATAGTAATGCAGACTTAGTAACTAGTTTGACACTGTTGAGGGAATTATTTGTTTAGCAGAGTGCTAAAACTGCAATATGAAACAAATTGAATTTGTTGGAAAGGCAAGTCTTGATACATGAACTCCAAGTCCTGGTGATGTTACTGAAGAGTTTATCACAAGCACAGTAAGAGTGTTTGCAGTAGAAAGTGTTAGTGTATATATAAGGAAGTTTCCACGTGAGTTGAAAACCGGAAAGTATCAAGTTTCAGCTCAAGTAGTTCTAGCTTAAGTATATGAGAAGGCACCCTTGTGAAGATGAATGTGCAGCTCTAATGGATGATACTTGTTCATTGATGTCACAGCAGAAGCATCTCCTGGGAAGGATATAAAATAGCTTCCACTCTCCGTATGATCAGCTCTGCATAATCAGCTGTTGGGACTATACGAAGGTTTGAAGGAATGTTTTGCATCAACAAAGGCTCAGACAAAGGAACCTCTGAAAGCTGCTTGGTGAAGCAACACAGTCTCCTCCTGGGTGAAACAACACATTCTCTCCTGGGAGCGAAACAAAAAGAGGCAACCAACATGCTTCACTTTGTTCTGCTTCTGAATTTCGTTTTATTACATTCTTGCTATGGGACAAGACTTGTGTAGAACCTCTCTCCAAATTGCCAATGTACCAAGCTGGAAAGAATTGCTTGTGAAGGGCACTGAAGGAGAGATAACGGGACCTCCTTGGGTGGATGTCAGAGGATTTCCAGACTGGGAGGGTTTTGTGAATATTGAAAGCAATCTGTTATTGTTATGAACCTGAATTTATTTCAACTAAACTTACTTAACTGCAGTTGAATATTTTACTATGCCAAGTTTGATCATAAATAGGGAATTTTATTTATAGTATGTTTCAAAAAAGATGTAGGATCAAACCACTTGTCTTGGCATACAGGAATGAAAGTTCCTGAAGCCCATATTATAGTCTATTTTATGTACAGTCCAATGAACAGTCTGAACATTTAACTTGATGTGAAATTAATGGACCTATATAAAACTAGTGTTTTATACATTGCATTGACAGTTGGTGGTTATAAAATATTATTCATCTCTCAGTATCAGAGATATGTTATTTTTCAGCAAATATTCCAGTACTCTCTATTTACTCCTTGGTTTTTATCATTTTTAACAAGCAAATTATGCATAGTTAAAGACTGAATGTTGATTAAATATTGGCCTTTTCAAATGTAAGAATGGAAGATAAAGATCTCTACGTGTTTGAAGAAATTTGTGAAAACTTTTCTCTTGACTAAAAAATGTATTTGTGGTGCAATGCGAATCTTCATTTAATACAAATATAGCATTCAAAGAGTAACATTCCACAAATGCAATTATTTAGGTATTCTAATTAAAATATCTTCTTTCCCTCCTAGGCCGTTGATATACTTCTACAACATGGTGCTTATGTTAATGTTCAAGATGCAGTCTTTTTTACCCCTTTACACATTGCAGCGTATTATGGTCATGAACAGGTATGGCAAAGATTGTCACTCTTGCTCACAGATGGGAAATTTTATGTACAATATGTTTAATAAACAAAAGAAAGTGATGTGGCCCTGGGTTTTTCCCACACATGCATTCCAAAAAGTTTCATTTGAAATAATCAATGTTTTAACATTTCTTGCAATAGCCCAAGAGACGCTGGGACCATCCCCTGAAGTTCTGAGATAGGATTCCACTGATAACTCCTAAAATATTGTCATAAATAGCTGATCTTTGAGTCTCTATGATTTGTGTTTGTCAGATGTAAATGCCTTATTCTCCAATGTGTAAATAATGTATATATGGAACATCAGAGGTTAACTTATTCTTTGGACTTTAATGTATTCATAACTTACCACTCCCATTCCTAGCTCCACCCCTTGTATATATAAGGAGCCACCCTCACCATTCTCGTCGCTTCTACCTTGAATATTCAGTGAATATAGAATGCCTATCATAATTAAAAAGAAATATATTTAAAGCTCTAACTCCTATTATCTTTATTGAGTCTGATCCTGAAAATATTGCAACAGTGTTTATGCTAGAAGACGAATATGGTACTCAGTATACACCAAAATCTTGTTTGCCTATTCAAGTAAGCATATATATTTCCTGCAGTCCTGCAATACTGCCTAGTTTTAAAAACAAAACAAAACAGCGAACCACTTCCAGAAGTAATTTGAAAAGTGAAACCCTCAAAGAACCTAATCATATAGTCAGTTACAGTAACGGTATATGCAATATTTGCTTTTCTGGAATGCTCCTTTTTGAGATTTCTATAATTCAAGTCATCCAGTTACAGTAGAAAGATCTTTATGTGTAGAACTTTGAGGTTGATTTACTTTGTTTTGGTATAAGTTACTTTGGAACAAATAGTCACAGTTGGTGAAATTATGCTAAAATGCATATGGTGCTTTCATGATAAAATTTTGGCTTTGGAATGTAATCTATAGCTAAGTTCTGGGCTGTTTATTTTATTTTGCTATTTATATCAGTAAGTAAACTAATAAACTGTTCCTTAAAAACTGTCATTTTTTAAAAGGAATGGTAACTCCACCTAAAAGTCTGTCAACATGCAATTTCCTCATAACTCAAGACTACCAATCTTGATTCTCATTGTAACAGTTAAATACACTATAACATCATTTTGATGTTATAGAAAAGAACAATCCCTAATAGGAGGGCTTGTCATAATATATATTTCCTTTGATTTCATAGAACATGTAAATGTAACTTAAAAATTTCATGCTGACTAATAAAATCTTATCAGGTAACTCGACTCTTATTGAAATGTGGTGCTGATGTAAACATGAGTGGAGAAGTTGGAGATAGACCTCTTCACTTAGCTTCTGCCAAAGGATTTCTCAATGTTGCAAAGCTTTTGATGGAGGAGGGCACCAAAGCAGATGGTAAGTTATTAGAAATGTAACCTTGATGTTGTCCTTTGGAGATCTCCAATTTGTAATGTATCTGATTACTTAAACCTCTATATGAATTGCAATATTTCTGTTCACTAAAGGTCCTGGCCATACCTGTGGTCCTGGACATTTCCTGTGGTCCTTTTTCCTTTCCAAAGTTTCTTGACCTTCTTGTATCCTTCTTTTTTGACATTCTGCTGATGGAGTTATTGCATTAAGTTCTATCTGACTTGTTCTCGCTGGAAACTGAACCACAAGGTAAGAGCAAAAAAAAAAAAAAGTTTAGACCAGACTAGGGCCATTATACCTGAGCTGCAAAGATTCAGAGAAGCATAATATGCAGCAAAGTTAGATTTATCTGTTCCTGTTTGCTGCCATTTAGTGCTTTTCTGGATTTTGGCAAATCAGATGTGGTAGTTCTAAATCAAACCAACACAGCCAATGGCAATCCATGGGCCGTGTCCTGGACAACCATATCATCATCACCAAACCTCCTGACCTCTGCAAAATTCCTTGGGATATTAAATATTTGGGATTAAATTATTTTGCTTTATTGACTTATTTTTACCCAATAATAATATACTATAAAAGACAAGGAAACAAGCAGGTGTTCAAAATTGCAATCAAAATGTCATCAATTGTAGATAAAGTATTAGTAGACAAGAAGAATGATAAGCAAGATAAATACAGCCAAGTATGTTTTGTTTTTAATAATATTTAACTTTTAATATTGATTCTTATATTTTTATAACTGTTTTATATGTCTATTGTTTTATCTGATTATTGTATGCTGGTCAGAGTCACATTCCATGGGATGGGCAGAGATGCACATTAGATTGATTAATAAGTAAATTTAAAAAATACAGATTCAGTTCAGTAAATAATTTATTTAGAAGGTATTTAAGATAAGGTATTTACCAGATCTGGGCTGCCGAACTGAAAGGGATACAAAAAATTCTAACAAATCCCAGATATGATAGCCCAAATACAATATCAGATCAGACCATTGGTCCATCAGCCCAGTGTTATCTATTTTGGTTGGTTCTGCAGCCTCAGACTAAGTTTACATCCTAAATTTAAGATCCTTTTAAACTGGATTGACCAGGAATCCTCTGTAAAGAAAATATAAGCTATATCCCTGAACTATGCTATAATCTCTTCTCTGGAGGGGCTAAAAGTCAGGAGGAATCTGGTAGCCTTTTTTCAGACTGATGTATTTTATTAAAAGGCATAAGCTTTGGTGTACTGCAGCTGATTTTGTCAGATGCTAGGAGTGGCCCAACTAATGTGGGATTTAATTTGGGGCGAAGAAGGGAAAAATGGGGGAAAGGGAGCTTTAATTGTGTCCCTTGGGAGAGTGCATTAAAGATGATTTAACAAAAGGCTTCATAGAAAAGTTGGCTTTTCAGAGAAGTTTCAAAGGTCAAGAGGCTTCTTGAGAGGTAGTTCTGGACACAAAAGGATTACTGGAGAATTGGCAGCAATCTAAGGGAAGATTCCCTTAGAACAGAACAGAACAGAACAGAACAGAACAGAACAGAACAGAACAGAACAGAATAGAATTCTTTATTGGCCAAGTGTGATTGGACACAAGGAATTCGTCTTGGTGCATACGCTCTCAGTGTACATAAAAGAAAATATACATTCGTCAAAAATCATAAGGTACAACACCTAATGATAGTCCTAGGGAAACACTCAATATAAATCTTAAGGATACCAGCAACAAGGTTACAGTCATACAGTCATAAGTGGGAGGAGATGGGTGATGGGAACGATGAAAAGATTAATAGTAATGCAGACTTAGTAACTAGTTTGACACTGTTGAGGGAATTATTTGTGTAGCAGAGTGCTAAAACTGCAATATGAAACAAATTGAATTTGTTGGAAAGGCAACTAGTAACTAGTTTGACAGTGTTGAGGGAATTATTTGTTTAGTGGAGTGATGGCATTCGGGAAAAAACTGTTCTTGTGTCTAGTTGTTCTGGTGTGCAGTGCTCTATAGCGTCATTTTGAGGGTAGGAGTTGAAATGGTTTATGTCCAGGATGCAAAGGGTCTGTAAATATCTTATAAAGATAAAGATTCCTGTAGAACAGACCTCCATGTAATTTTCTTAGTAACAGTACAAATAAATAGTTCTCATTGCTTTCTTCCAGCCTTTTAACTCTTTCTTTTAACTCAAATGTGCTTTTTCAAAAGGCACCTGGGCTGTTTTTTCCCCTTGAGAATGAAGAAGAAGACATTTTGCTTCTCATCCAAGAAGCTTCATCAGTTCTGGCAGGATGGGAGAGGGGGAGCTATGGAAGGATTAGTTCTGACAGGATGGCTGTATGTGTGGAAGGATCATATTTATTTGCAGTCATCTGGTCTTGGCACTCTCCCTGAGAGCTCTTGAGGCCACTTGTGGGTTTATCTGTGCCCTCAGGGTCACCTGAATCAGAGTGCAAATAGGGTGGAAACTTTTTGGAACTGCTGAAAGGACTGCATTGTAGACAGAAGGTAGGTGGTCTCTTATCCTTCCCCCTCTGTTGAAAGAAGACTGCTGAGTGTTAACGTAAATGGCCACTTTTACCTCTCTTTCAAACCAGTGGTCCTCTCTAGCCAAAATCTGGACTTTGCTGTCTTCAAAAGAGTGAACTCTTTCTTCTTCTTCATAGAAAAAAACAGTCTAGTTGCCTTTTGAAAAAGCACCTTAGAGACAACTATGACTGGGATGACTGAGAACTTCCACAGACATTTAGCCGTTGTTAACTTTTCAGTGTAGTCTGCAACCATAGAATTTGCAACTTCCCATCTAAGTACTAACCATACCTGGCCTTGCTTAGATGGTTGTTTAAATTTTCTTAAAATAATTTTTCCAGTTTTTCGCAGACCACCCTGAAGCTTTGGTCTTCCCATTCTTCTTCGTCCTTGTTTGTGCAGTATGATTCTGCTATGTTAGATAGGAAGTTGTTGTTATCCTCTCTTCCTACTCTATAGTACCACCGGTATGAATTTAACATATTCTCTGTGAGTTATGAATACATTACATACCTCCTACTCCTTCATTAAAAACGGTAGGAGCAGCATGAGTCAGATTTGTAAGTTATTCTTTTTTACCCACCAAGAGCCCTTGATATTTAAAGCTTGATATGTGTGCACTGAACCAGTATAATTATAATACCAGGAGATGGAGGAGGACTGGGAGAAGAGAAGATATGGTCTTCCCACCATACCTGATTTTTTTTTTTAGTCTTATTACCAGTTTGTTAACGTATTCCTAAAGAGAAGAAATCAGAACATTTTTACAGATGATGTATTTTAAAAGAAAAAAAGGAGAATGAAGCTAGGAACCTAGAAGATGAAAATGTTGCATTCTCAAAGCCTCACATCTGAAACTTCAGATCTCCATGGCAACCGAGGACAAAATTGCAAGCTTTAAGTAAAGGAAAATAATTCATTATTTACAATTAGCCTTTGAAATTCACACACGCATTGCTTCAATACTTTGACCTATCCAGTATAACAGCCATTTAAGACCAGGCTTTCAGATCCAGGAAGCTGAAGAATAGGACCAATTGCTATTGAGACAGAACAAAAAAGTCCAAATGTTGCCAAACGGGGCTAAACATCGGCTGAATGAAAAGCAATGTCAAGGGTTTCATTCCCTTTTTCCTCTTGGGAGAGAATCCTAAGGATCCTTGGCCACCCATTTTTGTATGCTATGTGGGAGTTTTAACTAAAAATTACTTTACCAAGAGTGCTTCGAAGTCTTTGAGAAAGAGGGAAGAATGTTCAGGTACGGATATATTAAGGGCATTTGACTTCTATTGTCAACTGGTCCAGAATAATAGTTGTGTGGGCAGTGATGGGAATGCCGCAGTATGCCCATGTAACACCTCTGCTGTCAGCTTTGGAAGCCATATTAGGCCGGAAGCTTCAATGCTGCCACCTTCTCATGTATGGGAAAGTAGGAGGGGGTATTAAGGAGAGGAGTTGTTAGTAGACATAATAGCATTCTTCCTGTCGGTCAAGGTCAGGGCGATCCAGCATCTGGAGAAGGAGTAGTCAGGGGGCTGGGTCGAGATGGAACGGACGTTGATTGGAGCATGTGATCAACTGGGGAGAAAGGGGATGATTTGTGGGGTTTTGACTTACTGAGGGAAAACCCGGTCTTTTCAGATTCGGGTTTTCCCAGATGTGCCAGTTTGCCTATTCTAGTAAAGAAAACTTTGGAAAATGCTTGCTTCCGTGTCTTTACTTGGAGTTGGGGTTTTTCTGGAACGCTGACATTTGCTTTGCAAGCTGTATGAAATGTGAGTTTGCTTCTGGCTACAATTCAAGGTGTTGGTCTTTACCTACAAAGCCTTACACAGCATAGGGCCTAGTTACTTGTGGGATCTCCAATCTTCTATAGCAGGGGTGTCAAACTGGCAGCCCTCAGGCCAGATGTGTCATGCCATGCCCACCCCAGCTCCACAAATGGGAAAAACATCATGAAACATCATATGATGGCAATGTGATACGGTGAGTTTTACTCTATAATATCTGCCCAGCTGATCTGATCTGGCAGGGTTTAATCTAACCCTCTACAGTGGTTTTTAATATGGCACTTGCTAAGATCCTTATTATTTATTGATTGGTTAGATTTATAATACACCTTCCAAGAATTCAAGGCAGGTTATTTGCCATAATGTTAATCCTATAAGAGTTGAGAAAGAAACCTGAAGTCACTCAGTGAGTTTCCAGGATTAAGGTTCAACTTGAACCTTGTTTTCCAAACCTAATCCAATCCAACTCCTCAACCATTTTGATTGTTTAATATGCGACATATATTATTGTATTTCCAGGTTATTGTGTGTAAATATTTACTTTTAAATGAATGTAAAACATCTTTGCCATTTTCAGTTGATGCTTCAGTTGCATTATTATGAACTATACATAATATAATATGATGATTAGCAATATCAAATCGATATAGTATTATAATAAGTATGAAATTCCTAAGTTCATA